ACGCAATGATTATATTTATCAAATTTTCTTTGAACTATTTCAACAAATACATATCGTTCATTTATTAACTTAAAAGCTTTGATTGTTTGTTTTTTGAGATTAAGTGTATTCTCATTTCTATTTAATTATCACGCTTAAATTTGTGATATCTGTATACATTGCTTTTGCTAGTGATAAATTCACTTTTAATCACAAATATCTATGCTTTAATTGTGCTTACATAAATAAAAATTTTTGGTGTTATCAAAAAATTCGGAGAAGCAAAAATTCAGGATGGGTGTGGGTGTCGCTTCTTTATTTATCTGACGCCCATACCCACACCCACACCCTCAAGATGGTAACAAAAGACATATGCACTAGAATTTCATTTTATACAAACATCTCGACATAAACAATCAATAGAATAACGAAGAACACAGTAGCATATAAAATAAATGTCAAAGCTAGAAAGAGACTACAAGACAAAGCAGAACAGAGCAACAAATTAACTCTATTAATATTTTGTAGTAGGTACTTTTTAACTGAATTACTAGATTAGTAAAAGGACAAATTGATCTATATCATTAAATTCGAAAGTTAATTATTGATATTTTGAATTTTTGAAGTCATATCTTCTCTACAATGTTTTAATTCGACTTCAAGAACATTTCTTATCGTTTCGGGTAAATATTTAACAGAAGATTCAAACTTTCTTATATGAATATTACTTGTATTCAATGGAATTACTAATTTTGCTAATTCTAATTCTTGTCTAAATTTATCGATAATATTTTTTCTTAATTCATATATAGCTTCAGTATATATTGTATTTAGATTTCTAACTTGTTCCAATTTTTCAAAAATATCCATTGGTGGATTTAATATACATGTGCATAAATGCTTTAATTTCGTCTAAGAAACGATTTAATCGATGTTCAATCATCAATATAATCTAGTCTACACTTTCAGATAATTCATTCGATGCATTCATATATTCTAATATGAATTGTTTTGCTTTCTGAAGTAAACGACGTTAGATTTTTATTGAAGTGTGGATGTTTGAAAAGAGTAGAGCATTCATCCAGAGTCCGCAGTCAAATTTTCTAGGTGTTTATCGAAATGCATTTTCCTACGAGAATTGTGCTGCTGAATTTTTGGTTATTCTGTCGGTATTATATACTATCACAAACAATATTCGTTAGATAAACAACCAATAATTGCCTTACGTGAAGTTACTTCTACTTAACTACGTGTTGATTTTTTCGTTCGGTCAAATGAAAACTGTATGTATTAATAATGATTGCAAGCAAGAAAAGATAAAAACGTGCGCTGATCGGTAATTATTTTATCAAGGTAAAAAAACGACGACTGACGCATCAATGATCACTACAATAAAAGAAATATAAAAAAGTATGTTTACTGATATTTTATTTATTCATTCTTTTTCAGCTATAATTATCATTCGGTATTATTTAACAGTAAGTGAAATTATACTACTTGATATCTTTAAATATCACAGCTTATTGTAATGATGAAAAATACGGTTATGCATATTTTTTCTTGTCATTCTTAAAGAATCTGTTGCAGACTTTACTACAGCTTTATTTCCGTTTCTTTTCTCATAGGTATATAAATATTGTTAATAAATATATGATAAATCAAAATGAGAAAAGTTTTCGTCGTGTAGCACAAAAAAGACCAGATACAGTCACTGAGAACTAGCAGGTACTTCAAAATAAAATTCAGTTTATTTTGTTTTCATACCAATTATTCGTGTTACTTTTTAAGATACTAATATGACGGTTGGTTGAAGTAACATTTCGACTCAAAAACGATAGTGAAATATAATATCTGAAGAGTGTGGGTGTAAAGATTAAAGAAGATCCGCATCATCGTCCATATCCACACCCACACCTACCATTTGGTACTATAAAGTATGTTCAACTAATGGTATTGCTATTATATTTCATCTATTTTTGATATGTAAATGTAGAAAATGTTTGTACATCGCCAATTTAAACGTTTCAAGGTAAAATACTTATTGTTTTTCCCACTTGTCAGTTGTTTCACTGCTGCTGTCTTCTTTCTTGTCAACACATCTCCAACTAACATTCCACCATCGGCAACAGCAAATGGAATGATCACTACGTCTTCGTTGAAGAACATTTATCTTATAGCTACGTCTGCAGTAAGTACTACTCGTCACTTATCCACGGTTCATATAGCTACGTCTGCAGTAAGTACTACTCGTCACTCATCCACGGTTCATATAGCTACGTCTGCAGTAAATACTACTCGTCACTTATCCACGGTTCATATATCTACGTCTTTACTAAATTCTACTCGTCGCTTATTCAAGGTTCATACACCTACGTCTTTAGTAAATACTACTCGTCACTCATCCAGGGTTCGTACAACTCCTTGTCTTCCGTTCACAGTATCAGATAATCGATCTTTTTATGAACGTGAATATCCTCAAACGAATTTACCTCGACGATTATCAAATTCATCGTATCAAAATGTTCTTCATCAACTTCCTTCTCTTCGTTTAATTGTCGTAGCCTGTGCTCGTAATGTTGAATCAGATATTAAAAACTATCGATCTCGTATTGAACCAATTCTTGATCTCTTTCATCCATCATCTCGTATTCTTATTTGCGAAAGTGATTCAAATGATAAAACTATAGAAAAACTTTATCAATGGTCTCGTGCACAAGTTTATACATATGGTAATATGATGAAATCGTATCCAGGACGTACTGATCGTCTTGAATTTTGTCGCAATACACTGCTTAACAAAACACACGATCTGAAAGCTGATTATATCTTAGTTACCGATATAGATATGTTTCGTACTACAGTTACTTCTTTTCTTTCTAATTTCCGATATAATATAGACGATTGGTCAGTAATGACAGCATCGTCAAGCGATCCATATTATGATATTTGGGCATTACGTACATTATCTGATTCAATTATGAATTATGATATATGGCATCGAATATGGGATTTAAGAAAACCTGGTAAAAACTATTGTTATGAAACACTTGTGAATCTAATTGTTCGTGTTCATCAAAAACGTATTCCGCTTGAATATGGTTTAATTGAAGTACGCTCAGCTTTTGGTGGTGCTGGATTATATAAAGCGAATTCAACATATACATGTCAATACGATGGAGAAGGTAATACTTGTGAACATATAGAATTTCATTTATGTATACGAGAACAAAATCACGGAAGAATTTTTATTAATTCTGCATTTCAAGTTTTTTAAGTTATGAAATAAATGTTTATTAAACCATCATCAATTCTCATATCAACATAGATAAAATGCATATTACATATTCTCAAAATTAAGAATTACAAGTTTTTGCTCATGTGTAATATCACTTATATTTGTTTGATTTAAAGAACTTTGATAAGTGGCTTCAACAATAGTCATGATTTTTTTCTTTTAAACAATTGATTAAAAGTCGTTTGAGTAATCTCTATCGAAATGGGATGTGAAATATGACTTAACTAGTTTTTTCTATGGTTTAACTATAAGTGTACAAGTATCATTTTCGATTGCATAGCAAGATCACAGAGAAAAGCTTGTAGTTTTGTCGTTGGAAATAGTCGGTATTTTTATTGATAGAAATAAATGACTGGGTACACAACAACTTTGTTAGACTCCCGTTCGATGAGAAATGCTCAAATAATGTTCACTAATACATCACAGTTCTTATAAAAGTACGACATGATAATCTGGCAAATGTGTCTTAGTGTACTTCATTACACCAATAAACAATCCACCATAGTCGACTAAATAGTAGAGGCTTCTTCACTTTTTTTTCTCATAATTCCGACAGTGATGTAATGGAACTTAGTACTTGAAGTATCATCTTTCAATACCGTTGCCAATGAATTTATCTTTGCGTACAATTAGTGTGAATGTTGGTAAAGCTTAAGAAAAAATGTATCCACACTCTTGATTGCGTGTGAATAACCATGAGAACTACTTCGAACATTTGATGGAATAAAATCTTGATTAGCTGCATCTTGAAAAATTTCATTCCCTAAAAAAAACTTTATTCCTAGTTTACTCCCATGTCATCTCTTTTTGAGGACTGTACCACAGTTGCGCGCATGGGCCTTTTGCAACGCAGTTATCGCAGTCAGAATTGCATACATAAAAATGCGCTTACTATCACACAGCGATCGCATTGCTTTACCTTATACATTGGATGTTTACGAATAATAACGATTATTATCGTTAATGGGGTATAAAAGGAGATGTAATATACATTCAAGCTCATTTGTTCAATCTTCAACTACCAGATCACCTGATATTTTAACTGGCAATTTCGAAAGGTAAGTAATACTTAACATATATATGAGTCATCGCCATCCCTTTACTCTATATGGGAATCAATTAGATTTTAGATGCTCTTTTCTACGATCAATAAGGTTTGAGATACTCTTTTTTTTGACCAATGGGGTTTACGATTGTTTTTTTTCTAGATCAATAGGATTTCAGACGTTATAGACAATGTGGATGTGATTGGGGTAGAGTGTCTAGGGTATGAGTGTCGGGTCGGTGTAGGAATGTATAGCTATTCTTTTTTAAATCGCATACCCACACCCAAATCCATACCCACATCCTCATTTACACTCTCACCTATACCTACATCCACATCTACACTTACGCACATACCTTCACCCAGATACACACCCACCTACATGACACTCACACCTATACATCCGCACACACCCTTATGGGTTAACAATAGTATATTGATCGTTCAAAGACAAAAATTAGGCAACAGACTTTGAAGAGAATTTGCTTTTCATAAGAAAGAATTTCGCCAATAGAATATTTTGTAGACATGGGTGTGACTAAAGTCAGAGTATTGGTAAGGATGAGTGTACAAGTGTATTGACGATATATCAAATATTCACATCCTCAATATCGTGTTCATCAAATGTTATGTCTACCAAACTTTTTCGATAATCTGACTATCGAAAAAATACATTTGGATGAATAACGTAATTCCCTTTCTTTCATCAAATTTTTGTTTTTTTTCTCGAAGGCATATTCATCCTTCATTATGAAGAATTCAATTTTCTATTGATAATATTTAATTGCACAGCACATAAATCTATTGAATTTGGTATCAATTCATTTATTCCTTCTTTTCAATAACAATTCTGACGATTCATTCTACAGGGCATAAATCTATTGAATTTGGTATTGATTCATTTACTCTTTTTTTCTAATAACATTTCTTATGTATTGTAGACTTTCAATATTTATTTTCAATTTTCGCATATTCTTTCGCAATAAATTGTGCAGTTGAAAAGAAAGAAAAACTAACAAATTTTGTTACTTTATAAAGTAAACTAAACGGATTATTTTTCCGCTAAAAGAAAATTCAGTCTCACACATATACAATATCATCCGAGATTCACAAACTATTAGGATTTTTTAAAATCATTAAAGGCGAGTATAAGGTTTCGATTCAAGAATAAGACATGTATGTATGTAAAGAAAAATTTGCTCTATCGACTGGTATGTATATTATCGAATCCTATTGTACACCGAAAAAATTGATTTTTGGCTTGAAATCAAGCCAGTTATAGATCTGGATCAAAGTCAGCGTCGACGTCGGATCTCCCTTAGAATCTATACGACACCTGCGTTAGAGACTTTTGATTCTCATATAAGTTTCTTCAATTTTAAGATTTCCTAAGCTCCTTGGCCCTTAGCTTTATGACTTTTTGATATTCTTACAACTCGCACGAACCAGTTACTTGTTCACTTTCGCGAACTCTGTCAGTTCTGCGAGGTTCTTGATGGTGTCGCTGAGGGTGTTGGTGAGAGTGTGAGTTAGCTATGCGATGATAGACACCCACACCCACATTCTCACTCCCATCTAAACCCTTCAACATTTCTTTTAGATCGTGTTTTACAAAAGCTTATCTTTTTTTATAACCATCTCTGTTTCATTTTTGACATAGCTGAAAAAGCAACTATTGCGCCTTAAATTACATATTATCAATGGACAACAGTATATCTGTGAATCAACAACAACAACAACAAGCCACTGATAACTTCGATATTTTAACTGGAACGGCAATTACTAGCGACTCTACAGTATCATGGAGGAAAAAAAGGCAACCTTCGAAGAAGTTTTTATTTATCTGTTGTGATCCTGATATCAATCGAAGGGAGGAATTGAAAAAAGCCGTACAAAGCTTAAAACAAAGCATACCATGTGCTCTCTCAACCAACGATTTTGATGAATGTGAACAATGGTTAATTTCATACCATGGTCCTAAAAGAATTTCTCTCATTATCTCCAACAAATTTGGCAAGCAGATCATGCCCAAAATTCATGATTTACCATGGATAAGTGCTATTTATGTGTATTGTACCAATCGTAAAATTCACACCAAGTGGACTAATGATTATCCGAAAGTACATGGCGTCATGTCTGATGTAAATGAGCTAATAAAAACACTATCAATGGATTTGAAAATTTCTAAATGTCCGAAGAACTTAAATACGCAGGACCTGCTTGGAAAACTATCCTTTAGCCGTGGTGAATCATCTCATAAAAAATACATAAAGACAACGAGAAAAGAAAGTCAAGGAGGTATGTATATATATATTACATAAATCATGCGAATATTATTATTTTTTTAAGATGATTTAAGCGAATTTCAGTTTGCCGTTATCAATATAAGAAAACGCTTAGATGCACCAGCTTCTGCTATGTTACAATCTTTGAAGGCGCTGACAGGAAACAGCATACTCATTATTGACGATATTTCAACAGTTGATTTTGATGAGCTCGATAAGAAGACTACATTTCTTTTTGTCAGTAGCGAGTTTGATGTTACAATGGAAAGAGCACTGGAACATACGAAAGCAATTTTTGTCCTGGAAGATGACATCAGTAAAGTCGATTATCAGCACCGATTTGGTAGTGGTGACGATCTCATTTATCAATTAGCTGACGAAATATATCGATGTTATCAACAAGAAGCGGAACAATGTTCAATTTCGGGTGACGTAAAAGCAGCAGAAATTAAAAGAAACATATCTAATAAAATGCATGAAGAATTGGATAAAGCATACAATTCAGTGCTTAAGAATAACATCATCATTACAACATCCATTGATGCATAACAAGATTTGTCTGACTCAAATAACAAATGAGTAACACTAAAATAAAAAACTTCTTCAGCCATTTTCATTTTCATTTTTCATTTTTTATTTCTCACTATAATTATATTAAATACAGATGTACAGAAATAATATTTTTGATTCTAATAAATTATATTTAACTCTAATTTCGATGCTTTTTGAGCTTTATATTATTCTTTATAAATATTGAAATATTTAAATCTAATTTGTTCTGTTTTGCAAATATGAATAATATTTTACTCCTGCTTTATTTCAGATGCAAACTATCGACAATATTACATTCGAATTCAACATATATCCAGCTGCGAGTTATTGGACTCTTCTGCTTTATCAACATCCGGGTGTTACTGCAGTCATCCCATTAGCTGATGCTGATCTAATGTCTTTTGTTCACGTTTTTAATGACATAGTACAGTGCAGAAATCATGTTGATACAAATCTTCAAAAAATGATCACACTATTTGCGTATTATAGAAATATACAGCACTGGTTTCCATTGATTAATGATATGCCATATAATCTCCAGGAAATAAAAGTTCTTTGCTATTCTAATGAATTAGAAAATTGTACTCGGTGGTTAAATCGTTATATACATAGATACAGGCACTCTTTTTTTGAAATAATTACATTTGAAGAACTCAATCATAGATTATTACTATTTGGTGTCGATCATTTGAAAAAGCTGCATTCAGATTTCCAGCCTGGTTCGCATTCATTGGCACGAACACGTCAGGGATACAGAAGAATTTGCCATGCATTAGCAAATTATTTTTGGCATGAAGCTAATAACTGAAATGCTGAAATAACACAAAAATAGACAAGTTTAGAAGTAGAACCTTAGCTTTATGCTATTTTTATGTTTGTGTAGAAACAATTATTCATCGTCAGGGAAAAATAAATATGAATAAAATAATAATGATTGTTTAAAATTGAAGGGGTGTCGGTATGGGTTTGGGTGTAGTGGCGGAGTGGGCGCAGATGTAGAGTGAGGGTATGGGTATGAGTAATATACATTCACACCTACTCATACTCTGAACAGGTTGCATTTGTTCTTCAATATGTTCTCGATACTCACTAATAAAAGATGACAATGGATCTGTCGAAGCATATTCATTTGTACTTCGCATGCTCATTCATCTGATCGCGATATTGTTGAAAATATATTAAAACACCATGGAAAGGTTAATTACACTATTAACTATTTGACGACGGGCTTATTTTCTTAAAAGTAATTAGCAAAAATATAAGAAAACTTTGAAATAACTGATTATTAGTTTATGCTTAACTTCACTTATCGTTCGAGATGTATCGCGAGCATGTATATAATACGTTCTGTAAGTTTACAGTAATATGAAATAGAACGATAAATAGATAGTTAATATCTAAAGAACTCGACAAGTTCAGCCAAGGGGGAAACAGCAGAATCCATGAATCCATGAATCCATGTGAATCCACTTGAATCCACTTGAATCCACGTGAATCCACCTGAATCCATGTGAATCCACTTGAATCCACTTGAGTCCACTCTGATATAAAATTCTTAAAATTATAAGAATATGCGTAAAAAAGTAAGCTCGCCGTGTAAACTTGAAATTTCGAGCTTCTTACGAATCTACATTTTATTGCTTAATTGCAGTCTGTACGTCTACATTCGGATTGCTCTCACATGTTTTCCATAAAAACTAGGTAAACATCAGTATATATTTATGATTAAACGAAATACCATTTTTTACTTCCGGTAATTAATGAAATATCTCTAATTACTTCTGAAAGCTAATAAAACACTTCTAATCACTTCCGAAAGTGATTACAGGGGTTTCATTAATTATCAAAAGCAATTAGAATTATCTCCTTAATTATCTGAGTTAATTACATATATTAAATTAATTATCGAAAGTAATTAGAAGGGTATTCTTGATTTGTGATGCTGATTAGCAGTAGTTTTGGAAATCTTAAGCACTTACATAATGAATTTTGATATAGGAGTATGATGCACTGCTTTTCGTGATAATGTGTGAAGTAGACCTAGGACAGCTTACAGTTCCAAGTTCGGAGGAACTGGTCAAGAGAACTACCAATACAGTAGTTTTGAAAGGGACTGATCTGTGCCAACAGTCCTTTGACAAGAACTGAACTGTATCGACAGTTCTTTGAGAGAAATTGAGCTATTCTAACCATTCTTCGATAGGAACTTGTCTTTGCCAAAACTCATTTTTTCAATATGACTTGGAATATTTCTTGAACAGATATTTCAATTTGGAAAGCCACGATAAAATTCTTCAAAAAGAAGTCACAATTTGTATTGAAAAAATAAGTTTTGAAGTAGGCCAGTCCCCATGAGAGAACTGTTGACACAAATCAGTTTCTGTCAAAAAAAAATATTATACAGTTCCTAAGATCGGAACTAATATGGAATTGTCCTACCTAGGGGTGAGTCATTTGACTTAACTTACAATTAAGTTAAGTTTTTTCATCGAAAATCAAAACTTAGTATTAAGTGTTAAGTAAACATTTGATACTTAATATCAAATGTTAAGTGAAAACACATAATTAAGTGACTCACCCTTAGTCCTACTCCTAGTGTGAAGTGGTGTGGGGTAAAATCGAAATTTCGAGCTTACGACGATTCCAGTACACTTTTTTTGGAGTAAAATATACACATAAACAGACTACTAGTTGACTATCAACTGGTGAAAAAACTAAAATGTCAAACAATTGATTGCTTCGAGTACAACAGATTCGTAAAACAGATAATGTATGTTTGTATCCGAAACAAGATTTCTAAAAATTTCATACAGCAGTACACGATAAAAACAAAAAAAATACAAATATCGAATTGTTACAATAGATTTCAGAGAAATGGGAAATCATTTTACGAAATTTTATGTGACTCCGCTTGAATCCACCTGAGTCCATGTGAATCCATCTGAATCCGTGAATCCACTTGAATCCAATTGAATCCAGTTGAATCCACTTGAATCCACTTGAATCCGAGGGACTGGATTCTGCTGTTTCCCCCTTGAGTTCAGCACCGATGACGCATATATGCGTCACCTGCTTTCAAATTTTGCATAATTGCAATGATTACTGTTCTATTGTATAACTATGTTTGTGTGTATTTCATTATTACCAATGGATTCTATCAATTTACTAACAATGTTTTCAACCAACAAATCAAAGACGTCACAACTACTATGTGCACGTCCTTCTTTTCTTTCTCATCGGTGACGTTAACGTTGTTTGAATCAACGAAAAACATTGATACGTCATTGCTGGCAATTCTAACATGCCATGCTACTATGACGATCAAACTAATTCATGATGCCTCTACTTATAAATGTAAAAAGAAATAATGAAGAAGGTATAATTTTTCTCACTTTTTAACACAGTTATTGGTATCAAAGTCGAGACGGTAGGAAAACTATTTTTCGTAGTTCCTCAAATTATTCCCCATAGTAACTTATTGGCCAAGGTACTTTTATTTAGAGATATTTGATAGTTTGTAAAAAAATCTGTGATATTTTAGTGAACTAGCGCTGTGAATCACAATTGCTATAAATTGCCTTTTGTACAGTTTGAACAAGAAAATTGTAGTTCGCTATCGTTACCAAATGGATCTTGAAAAGAGCACTCTGATACAGCTGAAAATCTGATTGTGTGTAAAAATAGTCAACAAAAATTCGAACATTTCTTAGTGTAGATCGAAACTTTGAGATATGTTACGAAATTCAAAACACATATATATTGTTTACTGTTCGTTGCTGACGTATCATATTTCATTACTTTTTTTTCTTGTTCTTATCATTTTAGCAAGTCGTTTGTGCGTTGTAACTATCTCTCTTTGTACGATGAATAACATTTTACGAAGTTATTATATCGAAAAATATAAAGCACATATATGAATAGTCAAATTATTTTATTAACAAAAACACTAGTTTTATCCCACCCAGGTCCTAAATAAATAAACTATATAGTGATACTATTTTTCTTTCTTCTAGATTTTTTATTCTCAAAAGAAAAAAGGAACTGTAAGTACACAAGTCATTCTAGTTTTGGCTATGATATTGGATTGTACATTTACAAAAATCGATAACAGCTTAATATAAAGAGTAACTTGTATTCTCTCGATAATATTAAAAGGTTGAAAAGTAGTATTTTCAAGCCAATATTCGGCTGTCTTTTGTGAATAGCATATGATTCAATATGAAGAAATGTTTCTCTCATTCAGAATCTTTATTTAAATAGATATGATGCATCTTGAAATTTAGAATTCAAATTACAGGTGTGTATTTATACTTATCAGTAAGTTATATGTTATACAATATTTGTTTCCAGTTAATGAATCTTATAAGTTTATGCTAAGGGAGAAAATATATTCAGAACCGTTTCAATGAATTGAAAAATGTCTTTCCTAATTTCTCATAAAATCAATCTTTCTAATAATGATAAACTGCAGCGATGATAGATCGTAAAAAGCGAATCGTTTTCTACAACTGTATTTTTTACTTAATAATATTTTCACGTTTTTTTTGTGCCTGGGTTCGGCTCAGTTACTACTCTTTGATTGGATTTTATCAATGAGTATGATAGAAGAATCTAATAGCTACATTCATTCACCCACACTCTCAAAGTGTTTATTTTTCAGATGTCAATTTTTTCAATCGATAATCTACTACAATTTTTCGACATCGGTAATCGTATTTTGCCTGTCGAAACAATCACCGATGGTTGGGTTAATACAACTTATAAAATTACGAGTGAAACTGGAAGTTATATTTTACGACAGTATTTAGAACATGGTGAACGAATTCGAACTGGTGAAAGCATTTCTTTTGAACTCGAATTTATGAATTATTTGCATCAAAATAACTTACCGGTACCGAAGATAATTAGACCAATAAATTCGGATGCTGAAAATACAAACACTAACAAGTTTACAATCAAATACGAACATGATCAACGATACTACGTTTTATTCGAGTATATCAATGGAGTGAAATATATAAACACAAACCTTAGTGCACAACGACAACTATGGCAAACCATATCAGTTGCTCAATTCCTAGGTAAAATGCATTCATTAACATTGAATACTGAAAAAGACTGGAAATTAAAATCCAATACATATCGAATTCATCAAAATTTTGTTCGAGTTAAATATGAATTATTAACAAATTATGAACAATTCAAACGTGAACAGTGTGAGCTTTATAGAAGAATTGAAATCTTGATTGAGAAACATACATCTACAATACCGTTAACGAATGTTAAAGAGACACAAATTTCCTATATGGAAAAACTCGAACAGAACTTGCCCAAAGGTTGCATTCATGCTGATTTACATGATGATAATGTTCTATTTAACGATGAAGGAAAAACGGTAGCAGCAGTATTGGATTTCGATGAGATGTACTATGGTTGTCTGTTAATTGATTTTTCGTATGTAATCATGTGTTGGTGTTTTAACGGTGATCAACTGAACTTGGAATATT